GAGGTAGGCCAACAAGTATTGTTATACAATTCTAGGATAAAGTTGTTTTCTGGGAAGTTGAAATCCAAATGGTCAGGTTCATTCAGTGTACACATGGTATTTGAAAATGATGCTATAAAAATACACAATCCTATAGATACAAGGACTTTTATGGTAAATGGGAAACCACTGAAGGTTTATGCAAGAGGTGAGATTGCACCAAAAAGGGTAGCTCTGGTGCTCGAAGAGCCTTAGGCATTTGAGTCAAGCTAATGATTGCTTAGAGATATTACACGTTTTCTAACATTCAGGGCATTTTTCACATTGGGTTTAGAAAAACACTACCTTTTATTTTGTCAATGTTATTATTAGTTAGGAAAAAGCGTCTAGCTTATGATTGCTTACCCAAAGTGAGAATTGGAGGCAACCCGTTGGGTTTAGTGAAACACTACTTTTTATTTTGTTAATGTTATTATTAGTTAGGAAAAAACGTCTAGCTTATGATTGCTTACCCAAAGTGAGAATTGTTTTATTAGTCTGTTAATGATGTTTGTTTTTGCCTGTTTCTTTTTCAGTTTAATTACTACTTTACCTTTGAATATAAAATTAGCCATAGTAAATAGAGAATAAAGTCATCAAGATTAAAGAGACATTGTTGAGTAATGACTGATGAAGAAAAAGGACAATGCTACTACTTAACCTTCAGATATATATAAAATTGTGAGGTTTGAGCCATTATATTTTCATTGTTTACTTATTTCGTTTTTTGAGTGTATTCGTGCAATTGTAATATCTAGAATTTTTATTTTATCTGTTTGAATTAAGTTAATTTGATACACACACATAGAGGCGTTGTTTGTGAAAACTATGTGGCCTTATAAACCTCCCTTGAATTATGAATGATATCTATTGTTAATCAAACCCTTCCTTCGTTGACTTAGCCTATCATAAGCCCTTGACTTGAAAGATGGAAATCTTTCCACCCTCCTTGGAGTTAGATAGATAGATTTTAATTCTAATATAAATTAATCACTAAGTTTGGGTTGCTCTTGTAAGTTAGCAACATTTAAGTTTGGGGTTGGGGGTACTAGAGAATTTGGTATAAGGAAAGAAAAAGAAATAAAAATAAGATGTCAAAATATGGAATTTTTAAAATTAAAAAAAAAATTTGATGAAAAGGAAAAGAAAAAGACCACAAATTTTGAAAATCTATAGCACCTAATATGAAAGATAGAATGATATGAAAGGGAGAAGATAACAGAAAGACAAAGAGATACCTAACTCCAAGGTTTAAGCCAATTATCTAAAAATTATCCTACCATGAAATAAGGAACATTAAAACCGAAAAAGTTCTCAAATGTGTGTGTTTAAATAAGATCGGACTAATTTTTCAGATTGTTGGTGTAAGCCCTAGAGGCCAATACGTTTGATATTTATATCGAATTATTTTTAATAAAAGGCATTTATTTATTATGTTTGTTTTTCCAAAATAATAAAGTCCCTAAAATAGCTAGTTCGTTTAATGAAATATTAAGTGTGACTTAATCTTGTGATTCCATTAAATATAAGGACATTATTCTTAAAGTATCAGTAGTCGAGATTTACTGTGAAGTGGGATAACCTTAAAGCATTAAGACTATTATGTAGATAGACTGATGATCACATCTCATGGATCATAGATAAGGAGTTATTAAGTCTTAACATATATGAATATTATGAGTAATATTTATACTAGATTGACCCGCTATGAGAGTACTACATAGAATGTTATGCAAAGTATCGTAAGTTACTCTCATGGTGATAGTCGTGTATACCACCCTTCGACCTGAAACTACTATGGACCCTATATGTAAAGTTGAGTACTTTTTTACTGATCAAACATTGTCCTTAACTAAATGACTATAAAGACAATTGATGGGTACTCCACAAAGCATGTTGAGGGACATGAGTGACCTAGATAAAATTTGTTCATCCTGCGTAACAGGATAAATGTCTAAGGGCCCAATATTGAACTGGATAAGGATGGCATGACCTATACTTTGTGTTTAATATAGACATAAGGGCAAAAGGGTAATTGTACACACAAGTATTATCACAAAAGGTTTTGTCAGATCACATGACATTTTCGTGACTTGGGTAGCAATGATATGTTTATAGATATCACTCATTGTTTATTATGTTAAATGTGTGATTTAATATAATAGCCAACATCGCGAAAATCTACAGGGTTACACACATAAGAACAGATTGAAAAGAGGTAGAGTAAATAAGGAACACCGTAAGGTACGGTGCACTTAAGTAAATGTAGAACGTCGTAAGGTACGGTGCACTTAAGTAGAATACAGAATATGGTAAGGTACCACATGCTTAAGTGATATACGGTACACCATAAGATATGGTGCGCGTACACTTAAGTGGACTTTTTAGCTTGCAACCCACACAAGTGGTTCTATAAATATAACCCTTGTGCAGAAGCATTCAGACTTGATGAAAGTTTGGCATGTGAAACCTTAACCGTATTTTCCTTCTCTTTCACTCAAATCCTTTAATCGTAGCAGCTAGTACTGAGACTGAAGGAATCTGTTTGTGTGGACTGAGTAGAGGTGTTTTTCATCATTCAACGCTCGTGATCACTCCATCAATTTAGCATCAAAGGTTTTATCGCCACAAGAGGTAATCGTTTATATAACTGATCATGCACATTCGTAAGGATCACTAAAGGAAAATTTTTAATTTCCGTTGCATTTTGGATTGCGATTTCCCTACACGAATAACTTACAAATTCACTGATTTTTGCTCTTGTATGTTGATTAAGTGAGCATCCTGGCAATTGAGTGCATCATGGTGAGTAGGGAGACAGGTTAAGTAGTGGTGCTGAAATAACTTGTCGAAATTGATTAAGTAGAGCAAGAAACGAAGGTCTCGATCAGCAAAAACAAATGACATTCATTAGGAAAGGTTTGTAATTTGTTTCTGACAAAGTTTTTAGTGTGCAGAAAGATTACTTGAGGACAAGAAACAATTCAAGTTTGGGGTTGTGATGACGGGTTATCAATGCATATCGTTTAGCAAGAAAAGTAACGAATTCCAACAAGAGTTGAGCGAGTTAGAAGCATTTAAGTGAAAAAGTTAGTAAAAAAAACACGTTTTAGTGAAGAAAGGGACTTAGTGAGAAAATTGGTGAAACAATTATCAAAAACATGATGAAGCCCCTGTATTTTACGCGCCCACACTACCTCTAACGTGCCCGCCTTGAAGTAATGATGGTGCAATGCACCCGCTTTGATAAGTAGCGCACTCGCATTGTATCTCTTTGTTTGACGCGTTTTTTAACTTTATAAAAGAGAGAGAGAAAGAGAGAGAGAGAGTAAATGTTTGACTACCAAGAGGAGAAATTGATATTTTAGAGCGATTTTGGAGCTTTTGGATGTCATTTAAGCCATTGGAGGACTTCTTCTTCAGTGATTTTTCATGCTCTTCGAATATAAACTATTAGTATTGTTTAATTTCAGCATGAGTAGCTAGATTTCTCTAGATTATATCAAATTTGATGAACCTATTTTTGTTTGACTAGGACATATGATTGAGTGATGTTAATGTTATTGTTATGAGTTATTTTTTATTATTCAGTTAATGATTGTGTGCATTGCTTTTTGATTGTTACGACATTTGAATCGATATTGATAAGTAGTGACTACGAACCCTGGACTATTTATTTGAACTACTTTAACTATTGAGTTCTCTAATTGGTTAGGGATAGTACGATTAGGAATTATGACTTAGGGATTAATGTGATTTGTTGCCTAATCTAACAGGATAAATATTGTGAGGGATCAGAGTGTTGACGCCTAGATTAGTGAGCTACACGTCAAGGAATTGAGTGTAGTGGTTAAGTTAATCTTTATGTAACTATGTAGATGAACATGTCTATTAACGCGTTCTTCATCAATCAAGTAGAAATAAAGTATTCTGATAATGCGATTTGATCGCCTTTCTCATCTTCGTTCTAAAATATTTTCTTGTGTTTTCAACCAAGTGTTCTTTCAATGTTCAGGCAGACAGGTTCCTAGGATTTACCCTAATCATAAGGGGTATTGAGGCAAACTCTGACAAATGTTAAGCTTTCACCAACATGAGGAATCCCTTTAGAATCAATGAGGTTTAACAAGGTGTTTAGCTACCCTAGCTCATTTTCTTCTTTTGCATGTGACAAAGTGTTTCAATTCTTCACTACTTTGAAATAGGGGAAGAAGTTTGAATGAATAATCGAGTGTGATAAGGCGTTCATTAAGCTGAAAATCTTTCTGGCAACATTGCTCATACTAGAGCATAGAAGCAAGTACACCCCACTATTTGTACTTGTTAGACACCGATCAAGTGATGAGCTTCATGCTCATCTACAAGAACAGAAGTGAACAACCAGTCTATTTCTTGAACAAGATATTCAATGATGTTGAGGCAGATTACTAGAAAATTGAGAGACTAGCTTTGATAATCTTAATAACTGCAAGGAAACTCAAACCGTACTTCCAAGACTATTGCATAACGGTCAAAACTGATTATCTCATTCGCCATGTTTTGAAGAAGTCAGAACTCACATGAAGAATTGTGTCCTGGTCAGTTGAGTTACCAAGTATCTCACAAAGGTGCGGAAACAATCTAAACAAAGAAAGTGAAAATATACTATTAAAATAAAGGACAAACATATAAAGGAGCTTATAGATGTGGACTTGACAAACAAAGAATCTACTACGGATGCATTTCTCTTAATTTTACAATGTTAATTACACTGAATTAACCCAATAAAATAATTACAGGGAAAAGGAAAAAAAAAAAACAAAGATAAAAGATGGAAGAGATTTTACAAACATATTACAACAAAGGGCTAAAACAATCCAAGTCACAAAGGTTTAACTTCTGTTCAACCTGTCACTTTGATAATCCAAATTATTATAGGCGAGTTCCAACATCAACTGTGAACCATGATTCACGCAGCAGACATCAATGTGGTTAGTGGTTTATTATTCTACTAATTCTAGTTTAATGTGAGAACCTTCTATCTTGTAATCCCAGTGCCAGCTTCCACTGTCCATCATGTCTTGTTCAATCGGATTCAACTGGATTGCTAAACCTGAATTAATGCAAACAGTCATTCATGTACTTTCATCAAAGCTTTATATGGCTTGACAGATTCTAAAATGTTAAAGAGACCTGGGCTTCCGGGCATGATCTTAAGTTTGTAGCCATCTGGAACTTCAAACACATGATTTCCCTGTATTGGTAAAAAGACAATAAAAATTAGTGTATTATTTCTTATAGTTTATACGAAGTATCCACAAATAATAACAAAAACATAAAATTTAACCTGTAATACAACATCAGTAGCTTCAAATTCAGCATTTCCATGCAGTACAATCTTCAGCATCTCAGACCGTTTTACATCATGTTTCCAATACACGTTTCCATCATAACTCCAATCAACTCCATCGTTCAACACCTTAACATTCTGTAGTTTACATCTTCCACACCTAGTAAAGTAACAAGAAGCTTGCAATTTTAAATTATTTTTACCGATCGCTAGGGTCAGGACTCAGGAGGTTAGATCAAAGGGATTAAAGAATCACAGCATTGATAGAAACACTAGGCAGCACCGTACCTTTGCCCATGATGTAGTATGGATTCACTGTTCTCATCAATCTTCATTGAGCCCGTAATATTTTCAGCGATTATGACCAGGCTTCCATTGAGCTGGAATAAAGGGTCGAGTCACAAACATCAGCCGCTATCTTATCAACTAAATGGCATAAGTTAACAATATCTATTTGAGAAGTAGAACCTGAACATTACTCCAAAAGAACTCTGCAACTTCTATTTGCAGTTCAGAGCCCACTGATACGGAACCACCGTAAAACTGGTCACAACAAAGAATAGAAAAAATATTGGAATCCTTTGCTTCTATAAATGATGATCAACACAGTTCACGGATAAAGCTGCCAAACTTTGCCAAGTACAATATAATTAACGGGACAAATATCTCATAATGCTTGCTCAGCGAACATGTCAGGGGTACTTGTTTTGACCATTTATAAATAGAACTTGAAATCAATTGTTCAAAAAAGACAACACATTTACAAATTTAACTCATAAAATTTCATAATTTTATATTTATACAAACAATATGATTGAAAATGAGGAAGATATTGATACAAACATTGAAAAATCACATAATAGTAATATATAATGTTACCTTTTGTCTGGTGACTTCCCAAAGAGGACCAAGAGCAGGGTGAAGAAGGATAAGAAATGGTGGTCCCGAATCAATGTAGTTCTCATCAGCTTCAATCTGCCACAAAGAGAAAACATAAAATGAATAACTAAATGTAGCTATAAAGACAATTATCCACCTATTAAAAACATTCAGCAATATCTGAATATCATACCGTAATATGGAATTATACTCAACCAAATGTATGAATTAATTTCATGCGATGGTATGCGTACTATCTATACCTCAGGAAGTTTTATATCACATGGTGAGAGAAGATCATGAGCGTTTCTTAACATATCCAATAGAGCGCCATCCGGTGTCTGCATATAAATGCCAAATAGATATTTAGAATAAGAGAAAATGTCACTGACATGTTCAAAATATAAAATGCAAGTTTTGTCTAGGTAAATATGTGAGGAAATTAAAATTAATCCTAATAATTCAAACAACATCTAGTGTTGTTCTCCGACTATCACTACAGTTCTAGAACACAGCAGTAGAATACTCTTCAATAGCTGTTAAGTGAGCACAAGTCAAGGTATCCTGGAAAATATCTAGTGCAAACCTAAGGAGAGAGGCCAAAAAGATGCAGCAGAAGAGTAAAAGGACTGTACAGAGATTAAAATGGAATAAACACAATGGAAGATCATATGTATCGGTGCTTAGGCATCCCAGACATAAAAAATATACTTCACACATAGTATTTAGTAAGTCAAACCTGGCGTAAAGACTTGTGTCCATGTCTTCTTTTTTTCTTAGCAGATGAGGTAACCCTTTTTCTTTCATTATATACAATAAATGTATCTAGCTTATCTGCTCATAATTATATAAGGGTTTTGTCAAGCTCAATCAAATATGAAAGGGTAAGATATATGTTTTGTCAGATGAAACAAGCACATACCTTCCACACTATTATAGCACCTAGATGAATACGAATTAAAATAATTGTCTGCTATATTTTGCATTGTACATTCCAGTCTGCCACCAGAGACACTGGCGAATCAAAGGAAAAATAAAAGGATTAGCAATAAAAACAGAGTGCTAAAGTTTCATTCAAGGGAAAGAGCGACTTAGAAAATCTGTGAAGTATACAGAATAGTTGAATAAACTGTTAATCTACCCTAACCAAACACCACTAAGTAAAGAACATGATAGCAGATAACCAATGAAGAGAATGAAAGGATAGTTTTTTATTTTCAAGCCAGAAAAGGAAACCATTAATTTCAGCTTGTGATTGTCATTTATGAAAAATCAGAAATTCATACTTGATTGTTATTGTTGTTGTACAAAGTAGCTACTTCTGTGATTAAACATGTATCCCTACTATGAAATTCAGAAACAAGTTTTTTTTTAGAAAAAATATAATTTTCAGTTTATGTATACTAAATATATAAAAGCTAAGAAAACTAAAAAAAATTACAATGAGAAATTTTTAGGGGAAAATGCATACCTACAGTGTCTTCCAAACTGATCTACGTAAACTATTGTCTTTCTTGTATTTAACACCATTCCTGGTATACTATTCACATTCCTACTTGATCCAACTAGCTCCGCAGATGGTAAATCAACATATAAGATGTTTGTATTGGCTGGAAACTCAGCCTGCAAACTTGATTGTAGAAAATAAAGTTGATATTAGGATTATGTTTTCGAATTAGAAAGCCTAAAATACAGACATAAGAAAAACATCTCTAACATAGCAAATTGGAATCTTCAACATCAAACAAACTAACACTGCTTTTGAATAAACAAAAACAACTCCCCATTTTCAACAGATTAGATTAGAAAAAACGCAAACAAAGGCTCCAGCTAGCCAAGTCAATCAACTTCGGAGGTTGGATTTGGGTTTTTCTAATCTAATTGTCAATATCCTGATCTAGAAACCTATCATTAGTTCATGACTACAAATGACTGAGTTACTGACTGTACTTCAATGCTGTAACCTTTTCTGAGGTTGCAAGTTTATAGATGTATGTCATTCTCAATATTAAGTTATTAACACAAGTTTCGTGATACTACATTGTTAAGATTAAACTTATTCACTTATATGAGTCTCACTATAAGGATACAATATCTGCTTATAAGTTCCAAATGATTTAAAGCTGTGCACTGTATCAGAGGTTGAATGTATTAATTCAGTTTAGATGATGAAAGGTCAAATCACATTTCATGAGGTAGATGAAAGATTGCAATAAAACAATACAGGAAAATCATGTACCATTTTGGAACAAGGGATCCGTCAGTAATCCCAAACTTGTCAAATTCAGTGTATTCAATGCAAGAAACACCATATTCCCAGTTTCCATCTGGACTTCTCTTTTCCATCAGCACATTAATTCCTTCTGTTGCACCTGAGACACGCTCACAAGATGCGAACCCCAGTTTCTGTAGAACAAGCACAGTTAAAAATATAGTAAAAAACAAAACAATAATAAATGATAAAATTTTATGCAAAACTTCAAGCATAATTTTCACCATGATGAAGACCGACTATTGTATTCATTCAAGAAAAGCAGACAGACGAGCATGTAAGTGTGCATGTCTTCACACTAGGTAGGTATAATGCCACATGCAAATCAAGCATTTAAAGGATATATATAAGGAATATCTTTTATTTGTTGCTTTACCCAAATCTCATGCAAAAGGAGCTTTTTTAACATAGAATGTAAGGAATTATAATTAAAGATTATAACACATTCATTTATGATATGTTCTCATCACCAACTTTGTGACAGCACGAAAAAGAATGAACTGTCAATTAAAACTACTCCTACCTTTCCTTGACGCAAACCGATCCCTGCTAAGGCCAGGAGGGTTACATCTGTAGCTGCCACAACATTACTGCAAGGCCAACAGTATCACTGACTATTAAAAATAAGCTTCTCTACTAGAAAACTAAAAAACCAAACATCTAAGGTACCAATATGACAGACCTGACTTGGCGCACAGTTGCACCTCTTCTTCCTTGACGAAAAAACCATTTGAAGATTCCTTTGTCATGAGCAAGTTTCCATATGACACCATGACCACCAGGCTTGCTCAAGGGACTGAATGGTTTAGTGACCAACCACTGCCCATCTTCGGCACCAACAACCGGAACAAGAGGCTGCCAATTCACACATTAGATATTTAGATATTATCAAAATAAGATTATCCCTTCTTAGAAGCAATTGTATAGATTTATATAAAACCTGCTCAAAAAGTTGGAAAGTTGATTGACCTCTTCCAAACCATGAGAGTCTTTCGCACAGGGATGTAATGTGTTTGTGGTTGTTCTTTGCTGAACTTGTCATTATTGCAACAGGAGTGATACATTGTTTGCCATATAACTTGAAGTACAAGAATTCTCTAGCCTTGAAATGTGAAACAGTGGAATTAGATAATTTACGGCCCATCACAAACTATTATTAATCTTGTCTTGTTTTTATCATTTAGTATTGAGCATATGAAGTGCTATAATGAGTTTAATAATTGCATATCTAATACCTGAAGATCTCTTATAAGACCTTCCAACAAAGTCCTCCCACAAAATGGAAGCATTGCAGCAGGCAGACATTCACCAGTGTTAGGATCAACTAAATCAAGTCTGTCAGCAGAGCCTCCCAAGGGATAAATTTCACCTAGGTCTGGCAAACCCTAGAAGGAAAAGATCTTATTATTCCCTGTATCTATGAAACATATGTAACTAATTGCAAATTATGAACTAGGTAATGTAATTATAACAACCTCTATACCCCAAAGAGCTGCTTGAGATGCATACTCTATATTTTCAGAAAGGTCAAGGCCAGTTGGTGCATCAATTCCCAAAATTTGGCTTTCTTTCACATCACCCATGTGCTGAGACCAGTTTGTATTCTTCCGGTCAACCAATGATTGGGCAATAAGTTCCAGAACCGTAATCTGATAACTGCAACATATTAATTTGAGCAAGCAAATGAGCAAATGAGCAAATGAATATTGATCTTGTATACCTAACCACATATACCCTTATTAGCATGCAAAGTACAACTTCTCCGTGAAGTAATATATACTGTCTGAATGATAAAAGCTTGGATATTAATAAGCCTTCGCTTTGTTTGGATGACATTTAACAAGTGGAAAATGGACAAGAAAACTCTGGTGTTTTAACACTAATTACCTTTGAAACTGACTATTCTATCTCAAATGGTAAATTCACTAACACTTAAAGGAGGCAAAGCTCCACTATTTTCTAATTCATTCAAATTGAACATGAAACTTTATTTACCAGAAAACCATATCATTTCTCTCTTCTACAGTCGAGAGTTGGTTTGTAAAGGCAATTTATGCTCTCACTGAGGTTTTAAATAAAGGTCTGCCACCATGTCATGGGCTGCAATGTTTTTAATATTGCTGCATCAGCTGCAACACAATGGTTTAATAGTTTTCTATGTTGTGTATCACAAGCAACCATTAGCCCATTAAAGAGTAAAGAAACTTACCCAATAACTCCTCCAATGCAGTCATAGAAGCTCTCAATTTGTGCCAAAGTCTCTACCAACTTGTTCAAATCCATAATTTCATGATCCTCCAAAGTCATTCCCGTATCCATCTTCCCAAAGCTAACACCAGAATTACTAGGATCCATATTCTCAATCATCTTCGCCAGAGCATAAAACGCACTCTTGACCGAACCAGAAGCCATACCCGGGGACTCCAACTCCGGTACAGTTTCGCTAAAACACAACACATGTTCTTGACCCGCAGCAACCAGGCACTTAATCAAAAACAAGCTGGTGGAGTCCAACCGTAACGCCGATAAAACCCTAGCTAATCCAGCATTTCGGGAGGAAGAGCGGAAGAAACGTCTCACTCTATAGTCCGCATCTAGGACTCTGAGCTTGTCGTCCAAATTATTGCATCGGGATAGTTTTTCACGGAGGGAGGTGAGTCTGGCGATTTCGCGGCGGAAATTGAAGCCAGGTGATGGCGGAGATAGCTCTAACGGTTCTGTGGAAATACGTGCGACGCGGCAACATGATGATGATGACGACGGAGGAGAAGAAGATAGAAGAGATAGTGATTTTGAAAAAGAGAGAGGTTGTTGTTGTTGTGAGTGTGGGTTATCTAAGAGTGAAGGTTTGGGGCGGAAAGGGAAAAGGAACCTGTGGCTATGGTGAATAGAAGTAGAATGAAGCATGGTTTAATCGGAGAGTATTATTAAATGCAAAAATGAATGAGAAGAATATAGGAATATAAGAAGGGATGAAGATGAATTTGGCTATTGAGAGAGAGAGAGAGAGGTATCAGGAGAAGATGCTAGCAGGATATACCATGAAGGAGGAAGAGGAAGAGCTTGTTTGTTAGGAGTGAATCATTTACATGTACTGTTGTTGTGGCCTTGCTGTGAGTTGTGGCTCTAATATATCCTCTCTCTTGGATTGGATAATCTTATTTTGTATATATGGTAGGACTATATTCATATTTCCCTAATGTCCCAAACTATTTCACGTCTCTTATTGATAATAATAGCATGGTAAATTTAGTAGGAATAACGATTTCACATCAAAATTTTGATATCGATAATTATTAAATATTCAATAAGTTTTTTCATTAAAATATTCGATAAGCTCTAAATATTTGTTCTTTTTTAATTAAAATGTGAGATAAGCTCTAAATATTTGTTCTTTTGATCATTTGAACAAGCTGGTTTAATAGTCGTATTTTTTATTTTTAAGTTTTCTATGAGGTTTCTCTATATTAGAATTAATCATGTTTAGTTTACCATAAAAAGTTAATCATATTTATGACCTGGACATTAAATTTAGATATCTCTTGCAATCAATTCAATTCTTTCCGCATAACCAAAACCAACACTATTGGTCTTATTAGAATAATATTTACATCATTTTAAATATTTTTTAATTCCTTAGGACAAATATTTTTTTTGCAAAATTACATGAGACAAACAAAGGAACATTACTTTCATATTCTCAATGTAGGATAAGTGTATATTAGTAATATTATTTTCTTTCTTTTATTTATTTACTAATAAGTACATTAGTAATATCATTCTCTTTCTTTCATTTATTTCTTTTTTTTAATATTTGTAAAATAGTCAACTGAATCACTCAGGATAAAATAGTCAACTAAATCACTTATGATAAAACAGAAAAAATATAATTCTTCATAGTTAATTAATAACTTATTTATTGCATCTACGTCATAACTAATTTCATGATTTACCATAAACTATATACCTTATTCTCTTTTATAAGTAAATTTTGACTTCCTAAATTCATTCAATAAATAATATATTTGGACTCCACATAAGATTAGATTGTATTAATTATTTAATAAATCTAAAATGTTAAAATTTAATTATTTATAAAAATGGAGGTTATTTATAAAAATGGAGGGAGTAATGTGGTAACCCATGCTCCAAATTACCAAAAAGTTTCAAACAAGAGACTAGGAGGAGGAATCTGTATCATTGTCAAAAAAAAAGAGGAGGAAACTATACATAGTCACGTGAATTAATGGAAAAACGTATCTAAAAATGTAAAACGATTGTGAATTAAATTAAGATAATATATATAACCCCTTGGTGAACATGGCTGAAGTAGGGGACAGAAAAAAAGACGAGAGATGATCTTTACTTTATGACCCGCCAAACCTCCATTGTGTTTATCGTCGTTTGATGCATATTTAAGGAACATTTTTAGTTTTACTGAGTGATCCAACTTTTCTATGTCTCATGCTTCGGAAATAAATAATTGCCTATTGTTGTCCCCCGGGGACAACAAGAGCCTACTTAAAGATACTGCCTCGTACTCACCCTTTTGGAATTTGGTTGAGTTCAGATCCTACAGAGGCAGCTCGGGTTCCCATGACCCTGACACAAGTTGCTTAAACTAATTATCCTCATCATGCTGATGATGCCTCTGATACTGAGTCTCGGATATATTTTTGTTAGTATAAGAGTATTACAGAAAGTCAAAGGTTAATCAATGAAAACTTCCAAAAAGCTTCACGCACCCATTAAATATAAAAATCCTCCCTCCGTCCCATATTATAAACCAATTTGTCGTATCATCATTTGGAATTTGTAAGATAGTACATAGCAACACACACAAGGATGACCTCAACCAATGTTATGGGTTATTTGCAATTTAATTCATCTGACATGTAATGAGCATCAGCTACATGTTATGACCCCTGCAGGGTAATATCTATTCAAAAAACTAATTCCTATAAATCCCCAAATCAGAAACAATGTCTTTTCCTGATTTTCGGTCTGGATTTTAAATGACAAGGAAATGAAAAATAACTAATCCCCCAGTGACAGACAGCAAAAATGTCTGATGCTTGAGAACTAAATAGAAAGAAAAGAATTTTGGTTGTGAAATCAGCCTCTATGAAGGAGCTGAGAAGCTGAACCTAAATCCAGTTTTACCACGATCATGTTCATTCTGCCTGAGTATGTAGTAGTAGTTAGCCTGAAACAGTGAGGAGTATATCAGTGAAGAAATCATAAAAAGTCATGATAAAAAAAAATATAAAAAAAAACCAATTAGGCGGGAGGGCAACATCATAAAAGAGATCAAGACTTTTAGAGACCTTTAAAGCACAGCTGGTTGTTTACCTATATTATTAGTACATAAATCAAAAGAGTATATTACACACACCACTAGGGTGCATGCTTCACAACATATTCAAACCTTGGATCACATTTTGGTGCAGGTGGGCAAATGTTAAGAGCTCAATTCAGAACCAAATCTTAAGGAAAATAAAACTAGAAAAAATATAAAACTATCCCAATGTCCAAACATAACAAATAAGAATATTGCACCCTAACCCAAATTCCTTTATATTTCCCAAGTCACGCCACCACCCTAAACCTAAAACGAAAATAGATTAGCTTACCTCCTGACTAATTAAATGTAAAGAAATTGAAGCATAAGCTAACCTCTAGGCGAAAAAGACTAGTAGGAACAACAATTCCACACCCGACTGATGTTCGGAAGGATTCTAAGAACCTCTGAGGAGAGAAGTGCTTATATTCATTCTGAGTTAATTTAGCAGTATTCCCGGCACCCGCAAAAACATGGCCATGAACCCCGTGTTCTCTTAACCACCTAATCGGAAGATCAAAAGAGAGATCTGCAAAAGCTGTAACAGCAAGATCTCCTCCAACGAAGTCCCATTTAGAGGAATCATTATTGTCATCATTGAATACATCTCTGCTTTGTCTCCGTGGTTCTGCAGGACCTAATCCCCTAGTTTTAAATCCCCATAATGTCATTGGCCCTCCTAGGGTGCAAATTGGAGAGAAATCACCACCCAAATAAAATCTTTCAGGAAGGGGAGATGGCTTGTTCCTGAAATCATGTCCCCATGGAAAAACAGCACCAGCAGAAATCCCTAGGTTCAGTGCTGTATTATAAAACCCAAAGGGAATAGCATACCGAACATCAAACTCCTGCATTAAAAGAGTTAAACAAGTTAGTCCAGAAAAAAAATCAAAAACCAAAGAAAGACAGTGACAAAATTGCATCCCCCAATGTTTAGCATTTACGATAATCAAAATCACTTTCGATTTCAAAACAGACAGTGACAAAATTGCAATATAGACAATCAAGTTCTACAATTACCCATGAGAGATATATAGCCCCCATTAAAGAAGTAGAAGCCTAGAAGGCCATAAGCAGCCAGTCAAGCGCTGGTGCCAATATCTTCCTAGTAGTGAAAATAAACAGACATACTGTTCAACATATGAGCATCCTGCTAATGAAAAACAAATGTGTCCTTTCATTGCATGGAAATATCCCACCCAAGTGAAACAAGTACCTCTAATCTTTCTACTACCAACAAAACTAAATTTTAATGATGTCATCATGTCAAGATAGATTGAGGAAAAAAGTAGATTACTACAGATTTTCTGCAATTGGAACAGATGATCAGGTTCTGAATTATTCATGTGTCCAAGGAGGTGGAATCTGCCCGTGCCCAACAAATCTAGTTTAAACCCTGATAGAGTAATCCTTAATCTAATTAATTTTATTGAGAAAATTGGGTCTGCATCAATTTGAAAATTCCAGCACTCACAGAGCTATGTCAGTTGTTACTTCTATATAACTTGACCTTAAGACTAGCATGTTTTAGTCAGGATGCAATACAATTACATTGCAGCAGAATAATTTTAAAAAACAAGAAAAGGATTTTAGTGTACCTGACGCAGAAACCGCAAGCTGCGGTGATCTGGTGTAAGACCACCAATGTGAGTGGTAGAAACAAAAGCATGTCCTTTTGTTGGCCTAATTGGTGAGTTTCTCCTATCAATTTTAAACGTATACTTCAAAGATGATAGCAAACCATGGCCGAGCTGCCTCCTTACAGACCTGGATGACATTTGTAATGGATCTGTTAAGGTACGCCATCCAAGAGTGTATGCCAAATCATGGTGCTTTGTTGAGATTAAGCCAAGAGACATGCCCAACGATTGCTCTTTGTACGAAGAAAATTCTTGCCAATCTTGGGAAAGCATGGCCAGACGTGCTGCAATTGGAGTTAAAGTTGCTTTAAGTCGAGGGACATATAACCCCACACTCACCTCTGTTGCTTGGTTGGCACCATAAGCTAAAGAAGCATCCCATAGATCACCATAACCTAACGGGTTTTTGTACTTAAGTGTACCTTCAGCAGTCCAAGAACTGGTCTACAAAAGCATTGACAAAATTCCAAATTGAAAAAATATTAGCAGATTAAGGCCAACAATTACTCAGTATATCGATACACCATTTCCAACAGAACAAGGACTGGAAGAAAAATGTTCTAATACATCACAGCAAAAAGATTATAAATGAACATCCATCTATACAATAAAATATATCCGTTTGCTTTGCTGCAACTGTATAAAAGCTGACATTAAGAGGCTGTCAAAAAGCAAGTCATTACATGTGTCACGCCTCCATAGAGCATTGTCATCCAATTTGTCAAAGCTCATACTAAAATATGACACTAATCCCCTAATTCCATGCTGGTACCAACAATCCCGATTACAAATGACATTGAAGTCATGATTTCTTATCCATATAATGAAGTGACACACTTTTCTGCTGCAAACTACAAAGCCAAAAGCTTATGAAGAATGATCATATAGAACCAACACCTAGTCTCTGCTATCCTTTTCTCAAAACT